GTTGTGTGTTAGCAAATGTGCAGCAAATAGAAAAGATACAATAGAAGTCGCAAGGGTCACAAAAAGATAAGCACTGTTCAAATTTATTTTTAATAGCTTTATTTATTTATTTATTTATGTGTGGTGCTTAGGATGGAACCCAATGCCTCTCAGGTGCTAGGCAATTGCTCTGCCGCTGAGCCACAACCCCAGCCCTCAAAATGATTTTGAGATAATGAATAAGATTATACATATTTATGTGCATTTCATCTTAAAATATGTATTTAAATACCTATATTTTTATTAAATTATGTTTTTAGTATGTTTTTTAAATACTTAGAAATTAAAATTGTTTCTGGTACCTTTGAAGTCAAATGGAATCAATCATTTTGCTTTTAATTCTTCATTAGCATCTTTGCCAGATACTGTATAAATGAAATCATGAATTTTGTATTACTAAATGGACATTCTATACTAAGGATAAGTTTCTAAATTTTTTAGTGAGCAAAAATGTTTCATAAGGAAAATAAAGCTCAATGAGTTTACTTCTAATGTGTTAGTAGCAAAATAAAATAAAGAGTATTTAAGATTCTACTGTATTTATAGGAAAAATACCAGAAGAAAATATATTTCACTGTTAAATCACTGTTAAATCATCTATGTGTCTATGTCATATAGGTAGCCAAAAGGCAAATGTAAAAGGCAAGACATTATACATTATATGCCTTTCCAATTACAAAAACTAAATTATTAGATTTTTATTTGTTTTCTTTTTACCCAAAAAAATGCAGTGGCAAAAACAGGAACAGTGTGTCACTACACCCTTGTTCTTTATGATGCTTTATCACCTGAACTTTTTTTTATTCTTTTATTGTATGACTAGAATGTCAGTTCATGAATGCTATTGTCTATTTTCCAAAAATTTAGGAGCTTCACATTCTGTTTGTTTTATCTATTATTATTAAGATGATGATGCCAATTTTTAAGAATTTAAGAAACATGCATTGTCAACTGTACCCATAGCTCCCAACAATGAAATATAGTCATACAAAAGTTAAGTAAGGTATAAACATGCAAAAGGAGAAGTCTCTCTGCGATCATAAAATGATGTTATTTTCTGTTCAGCAGTTCATGTTACTGCTGTTCATGCTAATTAATTAAAGGAGCTGTTGCAGTAATGTGCAAACAGGGAATCTGAGAAACTGAGAGGGCTTTTAGGTCTCCAAGTGAAGTTAAGTCAATCTGGGTGCGGGCAATCAAATATAATGAAATCACTTGTCAGTGCTAAGCTTGCAAAAACTGTGAAGTTTGACTAGGGAGTAAAAGGATTATAATTAGATTTCCAATAGGATAATAACAAAATGGCAGAATGCAGTAAAGAGAAAATATTACTTTGTTAGCTAATGGTACTGCTGTTTGGTTTTAGTTTTTATCAGCTCACTTGTAGTTGTGCTAATTTAATTTGTTTTTATCAGCACAAATGCACTACACAAATGGCACTTGAATGTCATTTGCAAAAATCATTGATCTGAAGGTGCACTTAATGACACCTGGTATTTTTATTTTATGTGAAGGGGGTATTGGTTGATAAGATGGTTGATGTGCTGTCGTTCAGATTCCCAGTTGAATTGTAGGGATCTGAATGGAACCATAGCAGTGTACATGTTCCACTGAAAACTTCACCTCCAGAGATAGTGCCCATACCTATAAAAGTGAGTATGTATTCATTGGTAGACTACCTGAAACATTCAGGAAGAGTTGAGAAAGTAGACTACTAAAATCTAAGTAGTACAGATATTCTTTTCTTGGAAGGTGGTCTATGTATGATATCTAGTCTGCTAACATTCAAAGCATGTAGGAAGTTATATAATTAAGCTGGTGAAATTTGTTAAACATAAAAGTATATAGTTCATGAGTAGTTTGTGCCATATATGGGAATTATGATAAAGGTGGATATGACTTTATTTCTTCTAAGAAAGATCATGCAACATTTTTTTTCAAGCCCCCCTCCATATTCTCTTAAGGAGGTAACACAGTGGAACTAATTGGATTTTAAAGGCAGAATTCCAGGTTAAGGATAGATATCCAGAAAAATTATTGACAATAAGAAAAGAGAATTTCAGTGATACTGAAACTGGTTGCTGTGATGGAGATGAGTATTGGAAATGGCATTGTATTGCAATTCTGTAAGAATGATGCTCACAAACAATGGTAGGAAATAATTTTCCAAGTTACAAAAAAGGTGAGTAATGGAGGGAGGTGGAAAATTTTAAAACAGTATCAAAATAAGTCACAAAAAACCCATAACACACAGAAAACAAAATTATTAGCAAGAATGGAAAAACAATGACTAAAGTTGCATTTTATGTTTTTCAAGCATTATATATTTTTTGAAGATCACAGATAAATATAAACGGCATGTTTCAATTCTAAACATCTCAAATAATAAAAAAATTATCAGGATTTTTTAGGTAATTATTTGAACTAATTCATTTGGTGAACTGTATTTAAGATTAGTTCTGGTAATATTTTTAGCCATCTATGACCCTGGCTAAAAAAACAAATCATTTTTGCTAAAAATAACTTCTTTGATATTAAGATTGTAGTCTAATGTAATTTTAACATACATTATTTACTCTACTTTTGCTGAAAATGATGAAAGTTTTAGCATGTAGTTTAAGTTCTGTGCTAAGACAAGGGAGAGTGCATGCTTTTCCATTTTTATCACATTTATCCTGAAAATCATTTGATGCCATCTAAAAGGTAGATCTCCAATAAATAATTGTTAATCCACATATTTTATCATAACCCACATGTTTTATCATATATGGAAAATGTTAAACACAAATAAATAATAAAAGTCAATCCCTTTGCTTTAAAATAATTTCCATCTAAATCCATTTAAATATATATCTAATTATATTATGTTGGCCAGAAAAAAACACAGTAGAACTTACGCTTAGTGACAACTAATTTTAAATACTCATGTGAAAAAGCCATTCTTTTAAAAATTTTTTTAGTTCTATGTGGACACAATATCTTTATTTTTTTTTTTTAATGTGGTGCTGAGGATAGAACCCAGTGCCTCACATGTACTAGGCAAGCGCTATGCCACTGAGCCACCACCCCAGCTCAAAAAAGCCATTCTTTACAGACTTTAAAAAATTTAAAAATTTGGACCCAAATGGAGACAGTGAATATACTTTTGCATATATCACCAAACTGACAACCCACAAATAAGATATCTGTTGCCTATTGCATGGAAATGTAGAAACTTCAGGACAATTCAGAGGCTTCTATTTATCTTAGAATTTGGAAAATATTATTACTATGAGCTAAAGGCAGCATATGAATTAAAAGTAAAATAGCAAGTAATTGGATAAAGGTATAGGCTTAAAACATAAAAAAGAAAAAAAAAACTATTAGCAATGTGTTTGGTTTATTTCTTCCAGCTCCAAAGCTGACCTAACATACTTTTCAAATTAGGGGCACAATCAAGCTCTATGTTCCTTAAAGACTGTGTCTATATTTGTATGTCACTGATTCAGAATGAATCAAATAAATGTTACAGGCTATTCATCCCTACCATGGCCCTAGTATGTGATTGCAACCTCATACACCAGGCCTCCAACTAGCAGGAGTGTCTTCATAAATTTAGTCATGGTATATCTAGTGGACAAACATTCATACGATTCAAATGGCTTTTCTTACAAAGACACAACCTTTAAATTTTGGGTAAAAAGCAGGCAAGCAGCTAAGAAAAAGCAAAAGCTTCAGTGAATGAGCCAAGCATGCACACTGTCACATCTAACAGTAAATTTGTTAGTTAGTTAGTTAGTTAGTTAGTTCGTTCGTTCTATCCAGCTGCAGCAGAATCAGGCATTATAAAAGATCCATGAGCGATCATGATTTAAAAAATTACATAAATACAAATTTTAAGTTTCCTGAAGCTGCCACATTAAATGGTGATCTTCAGATACACCCAAATGAATCTCTTGGTCATAACCAGTTCTGTCCTTCACATTGATCCAGTCTATATGGTAGCAAAGAACCAATTTGTTAAACCTCAAGCAAGCAAAATATTCATGGCTATCTTTTTTAAAAAAATAATTTAACCTTTATTTATTTGTTTGTTGTTCTTTATTTGTTTTTCATTTTTGATGTGGTGCTGAGGATCAAACCCAGGGCCTCACCCATCCTAGGCAAGTGGTCTACCACTGAGCCATAACCCCAGCCCTCATGGTTGTCTTTAATTTTCAGTTAGGAAATAATTTTCTGACAGAAATGTCTTTATATATTAATGTAAGCCTTTTTAAACAATACACGTGAACATAAGTGTAATCTACATAAAATTAAAGAACTAGAAAACTGTATTAGTTTACATTGGAAAATTTCCAGTAGTCAAATTAAATTCCTATTTTAGCTTCTTTTGCACTCTGTCGAGATGCTGTATTGATGTGTTTTATCTGTTTTCTACCTAGTAAATATCTTTAAATATTTTAAAGGACCTACGTATTTATGGGTATCATATAAATCATGAATTATAAGTCGTGCAGCTATTTCCATATTTAGGTGGTTTGTAAAATTACCATCAAAATTTATAGGTTGACAAAAATGTTGTCTGGAACACTTTTAACATATCAATAGGTTATGGTTATTGTATTTGTGGCATTTACAAAAAGCAAAGTAGTGAAGTTAAAAATACAAGTATTGTACACTTATGAAAGGTAAATTATATTCACATTTATACATTTTTAGAATATGGTAATACATAAATGCACATCCTTTTAACAGCTAAATTACACAAAATTTGCTCACATTGTATACATAAAGTTACTAGTCCCTAAGTATCTGTACTGTTATTGGGTTTTCACAGTCATATTAAACTTGTTTTAGTAAAAAAAAAAATAAATGCAAGTTGCTGCCTATGTCATTGAGTAAAAGAGTTAAACATTTATTTTACTTATATGAAAAGTATTAACACAGAAGCTCATTCCCACCATATGCCCAGGGGTCACATATTAAGCAGTTGTAGTAAGAAGGACACTGTTTACCATACCTTGCATAGCAGCACTATCATGAGGAGTCCCATTTTTTTCTATTTCAATATCTGGAATTCCAGTATCTGAAATAATTGACATTCAACATTAAGGTACAATTCTGTTTTAGGATTCCAGTTAAAAGGAAAATTGCAGTTTGTTCCTATAGATAATGCAAAATCTTGGGCATTGTTTTTTGTTTATTTGCTTGTTTTTGTTTGTTTTTATATGTTTCCATGGTAGTAGGAAGAATTATAAATTATAGCAGTATTTCACAATAGAATATAGATTTCTAGGTATACAATAAATCATTCATTTCATTCCCTAAAGATAAATTTTAAGAAAATCATCTGTTTATAAAAATCACCAATAACTATCAGGTTAATATGCCCTGATTACAGAACAATGAAAAGATGATGGATATAGTTGCCTACATAGAAAGGTCCATTCCTTATGCTTTATTTTCTATTTGTAATATATGATAGATGGTGATAATCTCTCTATGCTAAGTGCAAATGAAGACCGAAATATGCATTATGGTTTATGGTATTTCTGTAGTACTAGCTCTAGAAGCAAATATTTTACCACTGTGTTCTTCAGATGAGTTATAAAAGCAAGTGATTAGGATGTAAAAGTGCTCTGTGTGTGTGTGTGTGAATGTATGTGTGTGTACATATATTTACTTGAACATTTACTTCATACTATGTCTGAGTGTAATGTACCAATGTTATGCTGTTTCAGATAAAATGAAATCAGAAAAGTGGAATTAAGATATTTCATGATTTAAGCACGTTTTCCCACAGATAAACCTTAAATGCCTCAACACTAATGTAGTGTGCATCAAAGAAACCAACATCCTATATAGCTGATCAAAATTAAGTTCACCAAACATCAGCATATCTAACATCAATGGACCTGAAACACTTGCATTTCAGTGTAGGAAGGATATCAGTTTTACTGCTTCTACTTCAAAAGTCAGCAGAATTTTCTTTTTTTATCTCCAAGAATCAGGCTTATTTTGACTGGTTTTATTCACAACCTAACATATTTGGCCTCAAATTGGTATTTTAATTTTTCCTGGACATTTTCTTTCCTTCCTAACTTCCTTCCTTTGCTTCATTTCTTTCTTCTTTATGATTTATTTTGTTTACCTTAAGTCCAAATTAAACTTTACCTTTCAACATCCTCAGGCCACTGTCACTAGTTGTGGCTTGCTTAAGCGCCTGTTCCACTTGTTCCCTGCGCTTTGATTCAAATTCCAAGGCTTCCTGCAGTTTTCTTTTGGCTTTTTTCTCCTTCTTCAGGCGCTTTTGCATGGTAGCTGGAATGTGGAAAAAGTATTTTGCAAAATCTTGGTCAATGAAATAGGTTTTGATGAATTATAAATGTAGATGTATTGGTTGAAACATGATCACATGTATGCTCTATAATGCACATGCATTTTTTATGGTGGTGACAGTTGGGTTGGAGAATTGTTTTCTACTTTGACTCACTACATACATTTAATAATAACAGTCAATATTTTCTAATTTTCTAAAGAAATATACTGCTATTACTCATCATGTTGTTGCTATTAATATGTCAAAATGCAAAAAATAACCCCCCTGCAAATATCTATTAGGTTGAATACTATGGTCTTTAAAACTAAAAGTGGCAATATCCATTTCAGTGGAATGGGACCAATTATAAAAGCAAAAAATGTATTTAATATATTTGTTTAAATAATGCACATATCATCAGTCTTTCTGTCCCCATACAAATACACAAACACACACACACACACACACACACACACACACACACGGAGAATAATTTTCAGCCATGATTATATAAGCAAGTTGCAAAAGTGCAACTACAGTAATGTTCATTTGGTAAGCAGGAAGGTAAAATAGAGCTAAAGAAGAGATATACCTCAATTCTCAAAGTTTTATCTCTCAAGTAAAAACTTCAGTGTCCCTCATGCAGTTATAGTTTATATTTAAACTCCGAAAGCCTGAAACTAGGATAGCACCTTAAATGGAATTAAGTTTCAGCAATAAATTGGTTCATAGCAGGGTTGTAAGCAGAGTAATACTTTTCCTAAATTAGTTTTTAAAAATTAAGTTATTGCTGTTATTGCAATAAAAGAACACTCAAAGTACATTGAGAAAACTAATAAATTATCTGATGTTTAAAAATGTTCACTGCACTCATATATAATTAAAATCTTTGAACTGAACTGAATATGTTACTAATTGTTTCAAATGTGTTCATCTCATGGTTAAATATATTTTCATATAAACTACCTTGAACAACTTGAAGAGAGTCAGTTACATAAGTAAACTGCTGTGCAAATGCAAAATTTCAAAAATCTAAGGGAAAAAAACTGGAATTCTTCAGACAAAGACAATGAGAAAGTATGATTTTTATTATTTTGATGAAATACTGCTAAATAGGAATGAACATAAAAATATATTAGTATCATAATTATATTCAAATATCATTTAAACATAGCAATAAACAAATTATTTAAATTAGAAACTTAGATTTATTGAAATTAATGTGTAACTTAATGTATTTGTCAAAACAAAATTGTGTTTCAAATAAAATTAATGAGGCAAAAATATTCTATACGTTGATTCAGTTGAAATTTGTGATTTCACATACTGCAAACAATGCCAAACAGATTACATTAAAACTACTAAAATAAACAACAATAACTATAATTTATTCAGAACCAACTATGTACTGATCATTTTGCTGAGAATGTAACACATTAAGGTCTTAATTAACACTGTAAGAAAAAGCACTACCATTTCCATTTATAGAAAGCCACTGAGTCTTTGAGAGGTCAAACATTTACCTAAAATGATATAACTGGTAATTGTCAAAACCTGTGTATCACATAAGTTGGTTTTTCAAAGCCTAGGGACAACAGGGTTGGTTAGTGGACCAAGGCAGGTGACCCTAAAGTTTCCTGTTGTTTTATCATTCTATTATTTTAAACGTTTATTCTTCAAATAATATCATGGTATATTATTGCATATGGATATGTGTGTTTAATTCAAGTAGTATAGCTACCAGCAAAAAACAATTGGGTAGAATTTTTGGCTTTAGTGTGTAGCATTTTTTCTTTTATGGAAAAAAAGTTATAAGAATTCTTTTTCTATATTTATATGATATTACATATTGTTTATATATGTAGGTTATATATTAATATTGTTTTATTATATTCTTGGAGAGATATGGCATTATAACCATAATATCAACCTTCTGTCCTATCCATTCCATCATGTGAACTTAGTTTATAATTTGTCATAAAAAGTTGGATATACTCACAATGGAGTATTACTTAGCCATAAGAATGAAAATATGGGGCTGGGGTTGTGGCTCAGTGGTAGAGCACTCGCCTAGCACATGTGAGGCCCTGGGTTTGATCCTCAGCACCACATAAAAATAAATGAATAAAATAAAGGTATTCTGTCCAACTATAACTAAAAAAATACATATTAAAAAAGAATGAAAATATGGTATTATGTTTCTACCACTCTGAACTTAGTTGACAAAACCTGTGTATCACATAAGTTGGTTTTTCAAAGCCTAGGGACAACAGAGTTGGTTAGTGGACCAAGGCAGGTGATTGATTGGACACAGGCCAACCTCAATCTATAAGTAAATAGCAGAAAGATTAGTAGAGTAGAGGGAAGGGAACAGGGGGAGGGAGGAGGTGAGGGAAAGGGGAAATACTGGGAACTGAATTAGAGCAAATTATATTCCATGCTTTGTAATTATGCCAAAATGAATCCTAGTATTATGTATAAATAAAAAAAATAAAAAGACATTTAAAATTTGGGTATACTGGATATGAGATATTCAAGTAAGCAAAAAGAAATTTAAATGATTATCTAGTTAAGTTATTGTAATAGATGAGGTTGCTGAGATTCGTAGAAATGAAGTAGTTTTTCAAAATTGATGAGGATAAATAGTAGTTTTCTTAGTTGTATTAGTAATTAATTACAAGTTCTAAAAGCAGGGCTCAGCACATGGTAGACAGTATTATTAGCTAGTACTAGCAACAGTACTGATGGTAATAGTAGTGGTTATAATAGTGACTAAATACTAAATGGTAGTAATTTTAGTGATGATAGTAATTATAGTAGTATTAGCCTTATCATATTATAACAAATGCTAAATTTGTTAAATACAAGTACTTCAAGGCAAATTTGATAACTAATTATGCCTACCAGGCCTACAACTTTTTACAGGATAATAGATAATATTATAAATGTAGAACTAAAATGTCCATGAAATGTTAGTAAACAGACATTAAGTGAATATATTCCCTAAAAATTAGAAGTTAATTTTACTATATGTACTAGATTTTTATGAGTCAATTTAAGAAGCTTATTGTATTTAGCATATTTTTTTTGTTTTAGAATAAAAATTTCCTTAGTAAATAAATGTGAGTTATTATGATTATTAATCATTGCACACTATTTCACATACTATCAGAGATAAACTAATTTCACCAAACTTTTAAAAAGACAATAAAGTCTTTGCTTTGTTGTATTTAATGAATTTTAATTTGTTAGGTTAAGGAAAACAGGTTTCATTTTTTTAAATGCAGTGTTTGAAATTCCATTTTATAGTGAACCAATGATTCCTAGGACCTAAAGAAAATACAGAGTATGTTTTCAAGCTCTTGAAACAATAATTTGTTACTTTGAGGTAGTGTAAAGTCAGTCAAGTTTACTCAAGTGTAATCATCCTTCTTTGACTAGAGTTATCCATTTGGTCTATTTTCTTTCTTTGCCTCTCCTTCACACTTTTCAACCTTTTACTTATTTTAGATTTTGTGATCCTTCAATAAAAGAATAAGCAGGGAGAGAAAGAAGCTGTAATTCATAACATTTACTTTTTATGCTGTTTAATATTTTATGGAAAATGTAGGGAAGATGTGGAAATTATGAAAGTGAAATTTTGAATCTTCTGCTCCTAGTCTTACCACTAGTCTTACATTAATTCTCCCCTAATTTATCCCCATGATCAGAGTAATTTATCCAAATGAATTCAGACCCAATGATTCACTTGCTTATATACTAATACTTAGAATCACCCATAGGATAAAATCAAAGCTAATCTTTTACAAAGTTAAAAATATTCTTCATAATTTAAATTCTACACCTATTTATGTGCATCATTTCCTACCATTCACTTCAGAAAACTCAAAGCCACTCTAATAATAAACTGTTTATAGTCACCCATGGATGAAGTTTCTTTTCTCCATGCCTATGCTGATCTCGCTGCCTAGAATGCCCCACTTGGTTCCTTGCACATTCTTTTTTTCCCCCTGCTGATCCTTTAGGACTCAGATTCAGGTGTCAGCATCAGAAAATACTCCTTATATCTCCTCACCCCTTCAGCAAGCGGAGCAAACAAACCCTCTATATATAACCATGAAGACTGTGCATGTTTACTTTTGCTACTTTGTTTTAACTTTAACTGCTTGTGCTAGTTCTCTAAAATGTAAATCCCTCAAGGACATGGACTGAGTCCATTCACTTTTTCATTCCAAAATGTAGCACTGTGCCTAGCAAGAATAAGCATTACATATGTAAGGAATTATAAATTTATCTATATGCATTTTCTGACATTGCAAGATAATTATAGGTATTCATTTTTCTAAATCTGGAACTAGCCCAGAGTACAGATCTAGTTCATTATTTTTTTAGTATAAAGAGATGGACTATACATTTCTTTCGTTGTGGTTTGCATACAGTTTTTGCTTTGTATCTTATTTATTTTCAGCAGTATTAAGCTATCTTTGGTAATATTTCTAATTATTATTAAAAATACCTCTAACATAATATTTACTCTGTAACTGAACATGTTAAACTTACTTCTGCTTTGAAGCTCAACTGCAAGTTGTCTTTCAAGGTTTTCTCTAATCTCTCTCTCTCTATAGAGCTCCATTCGCAGTTCCTTCTTTTCTTGCTGAATCTGCTTCTCCTGGATACGAGCATTATCCAAAGCCACTTTCAGCAGACCCTGTCAAAGTACAGCAAATGACATGCAGTTCATCTTATCTGTTTTAATTTCTCAAATACAAAATAATTTGTGTAGGTGCTAATGTCTTGTATTACATTTATTTTGTTTATAGAAATATTGTTGACCTGAATGTTGGTCAACAGAGTCTCCACGGAGGATAGACTATCAGCAAAAATGAATGGTCCAGGGAATCCAGGGGGCAAGGCCTGCCCAGGAGCCAGTTGAAGCTTGTCCAAGGGTGACTTCATCAGTGGAATTTGAACAGGTACTTCTTCTGAAAAAAAAAATTATGTCAGAAGGTTCACAAATTAACAGGTCAAATGTTTCACCAAATCACCTCCAACAGACATCTACAAATACTGATCCAAAAACTAAATGATGGACACTCATAATTAGAAATCATACCTATTGTGCAGTTGCCTCTATTTTCTGAAGATAAGTGATTCAATACAGAACCCATGAAATTGAAACCATATTTATTGCTAAAGAAACATGAAATCTGTTGAAAAGATTTTCAGATAAATACAACTGATGTACCTGTTTATGAATATCTATAAACTAAATAGTCAGACCACTTTCTAGGAATATATAAGCTATCTTTATTTATTTTCTCTTCAAATCTATGTACCTACCTATATACGAACCTGTCTTCATTATTTTTAACAGCTTAACTGAAGTATAATTTAAAGACATTAAATTCAACTATTTTAGGTATATGCTTAATTTTTGGCAAATTTATGGAGTTTTCTTTCACAACCAATGTTTTAGAATGTTTCAATCCCCTGCAAAAAGATTGCTCATACATATTTATAGTTAATCTACTCACCCAACCTAGCTTCTGGCAGCAAGTATGCTACTCTCTTTCTAAAGTTTTACCTTTTCTGGACACAATATGTGGCTTTTTTGCCTGGATTCTTCCACTTAATATCATGTCTCTGAGGTTTATTCACATTGTGTCATATTTCCATAGTTTCTTCCTTTTTATTATTAAACAGTATTTCATTGCTTACTTTTAATCTTGGGAAGTATTCTTTATGAAAAAAAGAAACCAATTAAGCCACAGAAATGCAAGTTGTATCAACCCTCACCTTTAGATTTTATACCATTTTCTTCCACATTCTCATTTTTTTATTGGTTGTTCAAAACATTACAAAGCTCTTGACATATCATATTTCATACATTAGATTCAAGTGGGTTATGAACTCCCATTTTTACCCCAAATACAGATTGCAGAATCACATCGGTTACACATCCACATTTTTACATAATGCCATATTAGTAACTGTTGTATTCTGCTGCCTTTCCTATCCTCTACTATCCCCCCTCCCCTCCCCTCCCCTCCCCTCCCCTCTTCTCTCTCTACCCCTTCTACTGTCATTCATTTCTCCCCCTTGTATTATTTTTCCCTTTCCCCTCACTTCCTCTTGTATGTAATTTTGTATAACCCTGAGGGTCTCCTTCCATTTCCATGCATTTTCCCTTCTCTCTCCCTTTCCCTCCCACCTCTCATCCCTGTTTAATGTTAATCTTCTTCTCCTGCTCTTCGACCCTACTCTGTTCTTAGTTACTCTCCTTATATCAAAGAAGACATTTGGCATTTGTTTTTTAGGGATTGGCTAGGTTCACTTAGCATAATCTGCTCTAGTGCCATCCATTTCCCTGCAAATTCTATGATTTTGTCATTTTTTAATGCAGAGTAATACTCCATTGTGTATAAATGCCACATTGTTTTAATCCATTCGTCTATTGAAGGGCATCTGGGTTGGTTCCACAGTCTTGCAATTGTGAATTGAGCTGCTATGAACATCGATGTAGCAGTGTCCCTGTAGCATGCTCTTTTTAGGTCTTTAGGGAATAGACCAAGAAGGGGAATAGCTGGGTCAAATGGTGGCTCCATTCCCAGCTTTCCAAGGAATCTCCATACTGCTTTCCAGATTGGCTGCACCAATTTGCAGTCCCACCAGCAATGTACAAGTGTACCCTTTTCCCCACATCCTCGCCAGCACTTGTTGTTGTTTGACTTCATAATGGCTGCCAATCTTACTGGAGTAAGATGGTATCTTAGGGTGATTTTGAGTTGCATTTCTCTGACTGCTAGAGATGGTGAGCATTCTCATTAATCAGATTGTCTCTTAGTACCAGATAAAGCGACATCAACAGAATGATTCTCTATTAAGATGCTTTAGATTTATTTTGGACAGATATATTGAGTTAGAAAGGGAATCTCTTACTTTGAGAAACGTAACTACTCTGCTATCAATTTGAATTTTGGCTGACAATATTTTATATGAGATATACGAACCAGATATCAAAATTCCTCTGTAACTGAAAATGGAGACAGTTTTTGACATATGTAAAAAAAAAAAAAAAAAAAAAAACTGGGCTGGGGCTGTAGCTCAGTGGCAGAGTGCTTGCCTAGTATGTGCAAGAAACTGGGTTTGATCCTTAGTACCATATAAAAATAAACATATAAAGGCATTCTGCCCATCTACAACTACAAATTTTTTTTTTTTTTTAAAAATTAAGGAAACCTGATACACAGAGTCTTGGGATGAAACCTAACAAACTCAGTTACTCCTAATTGTAGTTCAACAGTATAATCAGGTGAATCATTAAACTTCAGTTACTCTTCTCACTGCCATTTCCTAATTTCAGCAACAGGGCATAAGTGAATGTTGAAAAATAGGCTTCTTTATGGATGGAAACAATTTTCAGTGACTTAATATATGCTAAAGAGACTCACTTAGGAAAAAGACTAGACTTAAATGTTGCCCTAACCACTTTTCAGATGGTATGGAAACAACAATAACAAAAAAATCTAGCTAGTGGTGTGGTTCCTGTAAGGATGCAAATATTGATTTGCCATACAGTTAGACTTCATTTTTCAATTGCAAGTAGCCTACATACGTAGTGAGAAGATTCTCAAACCCATTGATTTCACAGTCATCGTGTTTTGCTATGTAATTTCTTGTGTGGGAATTTGTGGCATACAATTGCGGGAAATTTCAGTGAGATTACTTAATGGGATACCATTGTCCATAAATAAAATACTCTTAATTTTCTTTTTCTAAAATTAACAGTGATAAAAATGCTAAATGATTATTTAAGAAAAGCAACCATTTCACATTATTTGAATCCAAAAATTAACATTATTTATTGGTCTCAAAAATTCAGTAAAATGCATAGATTCTCACATTAATTTTCTTCAGCACTGAAAGCTATATTTCCCTGGAACTAACTTTTAGAAAACCTGAAGAAACTGTATTTTGATCATCAATGCAAAAATGCATGGATTTTCTACAACTCCCTCATTGGTTTATGCCCATAATAATCATATTAATATTTATAATTAACTTAAGCATCTTATAGGACATCTCTCTGTCTCTGTCTCTCTCTCTCTTTTCTCTGTGTCTCTCAAATAACTGGTATGTTTGGAAAAGATTGAGTTTTCCAGAAAGAACAGAAAAGATCAGCACATCATCACAAATTCCTTGACTTTATTCAACTACATGATTTCTTTTAAAATATTATCTCATAAAAATGTAGAAAAAACTAAATCCTAAAATTAACAGCTCTAATATTTTAAAAATACATTTCTCAAAAAGACAAGCACTATTATGTTTTATTTGTACTGTTTGAGGTCTGTATTTGGGTGTTGTCTTTTGCACATAAGTGCATAAAGTAGATGGAATGACTGAATACTGATCTATCAATACTAATAATGGCTAGAGAGACTGCACTTTTGAATTGATAATTATAAATATTAAAGTATGAATTTGTATAGCAGGAAAGCTCTATTTTTACAAAATGAACCACTACAAAGTTAGAATATTGACTATCTGTTGATTCAGAGACAACATAATATTTCCCCTAAATAAATATTTTGTATCAGAGACAAAGATCTTAAAAGTACTGGATTTCTTGTTATATTTCATTCTACCCACATGTATAACTTCAGTGGTAAAATCTGAGGGGCACTCTTTCTGAAAATGAAAGCATTACATTCAGTATGCACAAAACAAAATTATAACTACGTTAAAATTGCTAGAAGTCTCCTGTTTGAAGCTGAATGAAATGTCATTAAATTGGCTGAAAGGAACATTACTATTGACTATGAAGACAGGTTGCATGGTCCATGGTTGTAATGTTGCTGTACTGTAGATTGAAGTTTCAAAATAGTATTACTCTTCTTTAAAGAGATAGACACAGCTAAATTAGGTGTTGCTTGCTGCAGTGAGGATCAAATGCAAAAAGAATCATATTTCATCAGACCTAGTCAACACCAGGAAAATAAATAGAAATATAAGAGGTATGCAGGCTATGATTCATTTTGATAATCTGGCCCAAGAGAGACACATAGAGACAGCACACAGATCTAAGCTTCTACCAAAAGACAAATAGGACACAGAGGGTGGGAACTGGGATGACAGTGTAGCAGAGGTCACATCGATTTTCAGCAGCAGTTTTCACACAGATGAGATAACCCTGGACTCTATTTGGCCCATTGTTCATATCCTACCTGTCCCACAAGCAATAAATTTTCTAGTCCTAGAAAAAGGGCAGTAAAGAAGAAGGATTCTACTTATGACTTCTTATGATTAAGTTTCTGTGCTAACCAAACATGCTTTTCAGACCAAGGTCACATTGCATGTTAGGGTCTGTAATAACCCAAAACTAGTAGAAGCATATTAGTCTTAGTGTATATGATTAGAAACTGTGAAACTACTCATCAGATTTTTTTTTCTGATTTAAATCACATGCTACAAAAATGACTGATAAATGCATTTGAAATTTATTTCAATCTTATAATAGATCTTCACATCTGAATGGCATTTACATTTTGTTCAGAGATGGAATAAATGCAATGTTACATAGAAATGTATCAGGTGAGCTTGAGAAATCCTAATTGGCAATAAAATTAAAAAATGGGAAAATACTTGAAACATAGATTGTCAGTTTAATAAAAGCAGCTCTTTGCAATCCTGAGAAAGGGTTTTGATTTTAAAAAAAACTGATGCACACACACACACACACACACACACACACACACCTTTATCAGCATATATAACACATTGGTTTAAATTAAAAAAAAAATAAACCTAACACAACTGCAATCTCATCAAGGACATGAGCAACCTCTCCAATTATTGATGTAATGTGGAGACCACTTCTATTGAGCCTGTTTGTTAAACCTGCCATACTTTGTAATAGCACTTGGGGATCCACATAAAAAATAAGCTCTTTATTTTAATTTCTTGCTTGGGGCCCAGATGA